TGCTACACTCCCAAAGTCAAGATTCGGCTCAAATGTATGGAATTGGAGCTGTAGGCATTTTTAGCTTCCTCAGCCTCCACTACAACGATTTCATAGCATAAGAACCCCCCCCCCAAAAACCGTATTTCTTCTCATACTGGGCATGTTTGTTGCCACCATTTCCTTATAAAGTCAATATTTTATTTTTCTTTATCGGCCGTTTTCTCAAAACGCGATTTTTCTCTATACTTTTTTGAATAGCTCCACATTTTTCATTCAATCTTCATGAAATTTTCACAGAATGAAGAGATGATACAAAACTGAAAATGCGATTGTTGAATTTTTGATATGTGGAATAGTTTTTGTTGGTGGTGTCCGCAGTATGGATTTTACTGATTTTTTTGCAAATGTGAATACTACCTCAGGAAAAAAATTCATTAAAAAATTTCTAATTCGTTTAAGAAAAAAACAACAGACAAATTTTTAGATTTAATGTTTGCTAACATGCATGCACAAAAACTATCAATTTCCACAAAAAAAGCGTGTGGTATTTATTACATAACACATGTCAACAAAATCCAATATGGCCGCCGTATCCATGGAAACACAATTTTTTCTCAAATTTGATTGAGGATTTTAAAACTCCTAACTATGCTTGTTATATGTGCGAAATTTCGTAAAATTTGGTCCACTATTAAGCGAGATAGCCTTCAGGTGTAAACCCCCCCCCTCCCCTGCCTTAAGATTGCCGCGCAATCATGCGATCGCTAAAACTTAATATTGCGCCGATCGGTAAGTTGTGAGCAAGCATGTATACACATGATAAAATCAAACACTACTCACTACTATATTTAAATTTGTATACATTTTTTAGGGACACTCTGTATATATTATACATTTATACATTCAGCATCTATACAATAATAAATGAGTATTGATACAGAGCAAAAGGTACACTAATTGTATACATGATATCAGGACTGATACAGGAGAAATGACAAGCTTACATGTATATTGATTCTATACATAATCAAAACTTGACAGATACAGAAGAAATGTAACATGTATAATGATTGTATACATATCCAAATCAGGACTCTGATACAGAAAAAAATGATACATGTATAATGATTGTATACATAACAAAATCAGGACTAATACAAAAAAATAATACATGTGTAAAGATTGTATACATTACCAAATCTAGACGGATACAGAAGAAACAAATGATTGTATACATTGAATTCTCAAGACTGACACAAAGCAATAAATGGTATAATGACTGTATACATTACCAAATCAAGACTGATACAAAGGAAAAGATTTAATAATCGTGTATACATTACCAAATCAAGACTGATACAGAGCAAAAAAATATATAATAAGTGTATATTGTGTATTACCAAATTGAGATTGAAACAGGGGAAATGACATAATGACTGTATCAATTTTACTTATTAAATCGGGGCAGATACGGAGCAAATGATAACAACGATTGTATACCGTAGATTACCAAATCAAGACTGGAACTGAAATAGAAAAGATGATAATATTATGAGCTTAGACATTACTTTACTAGATCGTGGCAGATACAAAACAAGTGATATAATAATAAAATAGTGACTGAATACATTACCAAATCAAGACTGAGGAAATGTGATACTGTGTGTTATAAAAACCTCTTTCGTTATAATGATTCGACCCCAAGAGCAGTCAGTTGCCAAGTAGGCTCTTGCAAGTCTTCGATCAGCACTTTTTTCTTTTTATTATTATTATTTTATTTTGTGTGTG